TGTGAATGCTCGCTGTCCCCCTAGGGGTCCTGTACCCCTGCCTTCCTGAGGCCCCTCCAGCCCTCCGCTTGGCAGTTAATCACATTCTCCCTCCCACTATGTTCTGTGCCCCTTGGTTGTCGCCCGTGTATTTCAGGGCCCGGCAGAGTGTCTACACCATAATAAAGACTTAACTGATACTTTTAAATCAAAAAATGCACCATTGTACTTGGTTGCTTAACATCGCCACCTTGACTGTGAAGTTAGAAGCCCGGATAGTGGAGTTGTCCTTGAGTGCGCAGATGTGAGGCCGACCTCACACAACTCTCCCCTCCTCCACCTGTCAGCCGCGTGACCGTGACTGTGGGCAAGCTGGCAACTCTCAGCTCCCTCATCTGTCAATGAGGCTTTCTGCCACCGAGGTTGCCGTGAGGCTGAAATAGGATAATTTCCGTGTTTGGGTAGAATTTCAGCAGTTGGGAACAACAACAGCAATTTTGTCTGATTGAAGCTAAAAGAGTTGTTGACAAAATAGGCAGCAGCTCGCAGGACTGTTGGCAGGGCTAGTGAGCCGGGCCCAGAAGCTCTGCAGCCTGGGTGACACCCCACCTCACGCCCAGGAGCTGCCACTGCCGGCTAGTGCTCGGCTGGCACAGTACACGGTGGTCCCCCCCGATGCAGCGGGCCGCAGACCCAGTCCCCAGGCGCTCCCGCGGTTGTAGGAGTGCCAGCCCCGCCCGCCGCAGGGCGCTGGCCAGCTGCAGGGGATGCCGGAAGAACCGGCGTCCGCGCCGTCGACTTGCGTGGTGAGGAATGGATTGTGTGTCCTGCGAGGACTGTGGGGCGGGAAGCTCCCCCAGATGGGAAGGGGCTCCTGATGCCGGGCAGTCGAAGGGTGACAGGCGGCCACAGAGTACACGGACACTAAGGGTCCGCACTGATGTCCAGCCACTGCCAGCACGCGGCTCCTTGGTGAGCTGAGCGGGCAGCGGCTATGGTGGCCCCGCGAGCGGGGTGGGGGCCCGGACCTGCTTGGGTGGTCTAAATGGTGACGAGTATTTTGGAGATAAGGCAGTGTGTCAGTCTGCTGGGACTGCCCAAACAAGGTAACAACAGGAGTTTATTCTCTCCCAGCCCTGGAGACGAGAGGTGTGAGATCAGGGTGCTGGCAGGGTCAGTTCCCTCCAGGGCCTGTGAGGGACGGGTCTGTTCTAGGGCCCCCGCCTTGGCTTGCAGGTGGCCGTCTCCACCCTGTGCCTCTTCACATCGTCTTCCCTTTAGGCATGCCTCTGTGTCCACGTCCCCCCTTTCTATAAGGATGCTAGTCATTTTGGACCAGGTCTACCCTAATGACCTCATTACCTCATTTTAACTTGGTTACCTCTGTAAAACCCCGTCTCCAAATACCTCACATTCTGAGGCATTGTGGATTGGATTCAGCCTATGAATTTTGAGGGGGGACACAGTTCAGCCCATAAAAATGCCCTGTGTCCAAGTTTCCCCTTTTTTATAAGGACACCAAGCAGATTGGGGTAGGAGCCTACCCTACTCCAATATGACCTCATCTTAATTCATTATATCTGCAACGACCCTATTTCCAAGTAAGGTCACATTTTGAGATACTGGGAGTTAAGACTTCAGCATGTGAATTTGGGGGTGGGGGTCATAATTCAACCGATAATACAGGGATAAGTCAGGGTGGCTTAGTTGAGGGGTATGGATCAAAGGCAAGCATTAAGGATGAATTCGCATGTTCTGACTGAACAGTTAGAGAATGGTGGCACCTTTAGTAAGGTGAAGAGAAGATAAAGAAATGGAATTCAGGGCCAGAGGTCCAGGTGACATTTCCTACCCCATTCTTTGCTGACTGGCTTAGTGAGGGACCTATGCCCCAACCAGGGCCAGTAGGATATAAAGAGGATTGCTGCAGGCTTCTGGAAAGATCTTAGCATCAAGAGGCTCTTGGGAGGCTAGGATTACTCTCTCCAGCACCTGAATGGGAAAGCATGTGGCCAAAAGGGTTTCTAGAAGTCATCCTCTATTTGTGGGTGGATGCCGTCTTTGGACGAGGTCAAAATTGTGGAGAGCAGAGTGAGGCCAAGGGAAGCACCTGGATTCTTGGCCGTGGTACTGAGCCACCAGATCAACAGTTTTGAAGCTCAGCACTCCTGTGAGTTTGCACTTGTGTAAGCTAATAAGGGTCCTTGTTGCTTAGCTGTTTTGAGTTTAGATATCTTGTTATGTGCAGCCAAAAGCATCCCTAAGTGGTAAAATGCATCATCCCCTCCCGTGGGCTGGATGACCTCTGAGGTCTGGGCGGCCACGTTTGGTTTGTCTCTGTGTCCAGCTCAGGTCCCAGCACTCAGGTCATGCTTGTTGAATCAATCAGTGGATGATGAGGGTCGTGTGCATTAAGGTGTGGAAACTTCGTCATCTTTCAGACTAGCTGTAGTCGTTGATAATATATTCTGGCCTCACTCCATGCTGCGAACCAGCTAGTTATGGAGCCAAAGAATGAGAGAGAATGGGAAGAGAATAGATATCTCATAGGGAGAGGATGCTACCCCTCCTCCCTGCATCTCCTGCCATCAGCCCATTTGCTTAGGCCAGAAACCTGGCAGTCTTCTCTTAGCCATCTCTAACACCCTCCCTCCCCAGATTTGGAGCCAGTCACCCAGTTAATCTTGTCCAGCCTACTCTTGAAACATATCTTGGATCCATCCCCTTCTCGCTACTTAGTCCAGGCCACCGAGATCTTTGGACCGTTGTTGTGCCTTCCAACACGGTGCGAGCTTCCTTGCTAAGCTTCCTTCCAGTGCACTTGCCACTCTGAAGACAGAGCAGTCTTCTAAAAATGTAAACCACACCATGTGCCCCCTTGCTTAAAACCCTCCCGTAGTTTCCCCCCTCCATCCCCTCCCCCCCAAAAGTCCAAGTAACAGGCAAATTCATTATCATGACTTCCAAGGCCCCATGTGACCTCCCTTTCCTGCCCCTCCAATCCATGCAGCCCCTTCTTCCCTTCCTTGTCGCATTACACCACCCTCCACGCCGGCCTGCTTTCAATTATGTGGACACTGTAAGCTTTCTTCTGCCATGCCATCATGGCACATGCTTTTCCCTCTGCCTGGAATACTTTCCCCACCATTAAAAAAAAAAAGTTTTAGATTGGTGGAATGTATTATACTTAAAAAGAATATATAAGATATATACATATGCATTGCATACACAAACACACACACAGAGTTTAAAGAATGATTATAAATCTAGCACCCAGCTAAGAATAAGAAGATTAAGAATAGAGGATCCTGTCAGGTGCCCCACCCAGGTCTGTCTTCCACCCCTCCCAGAAGTGACCACTGACCTGATATTTGCAATAATTCTTTGTTTTCCTTTGTAGTTTTACAATCTATTTGTAATTCCCCCAAAACATTTATATTTGCATATTTTTGAATTTATATATGACATCATACTGTATGTATTCTTTTGTTTCTGGCTTATTTTGTTCAATGCCATTTTGTGTGTGAGATTTTATAAGTGTGTTTGCACATTGCTGTAATTCATTCATGTTTGTGATTCTCGTGTTTCATATGATGACTATTCCACAATTTATTTATCTATTCTATTGTGGGTGGGCATCTGGGTTGTTTCCCATTTAGGGCTGTTGTAAGCAATACTACATGGAATTTTGGGTAAATATGTCCTAGGGCAGGTAGAAAAAAGTTTTTTAGAGGAATTTTCTAGAAATGGATTTGCTGGGCTGTAGGTTTGGGGCATCTTCAACTTTACTAGATGATGCCAAACTGTTTTCCAAGATGGTTGTACAAATTAAACACAGTGCATGAGAGTACACTGCTGATCACTACTTGGTCTTGCCATACCTGTTAGTTTTTATCCTCCTGGGGATTGTGTGAGCTTCACCCAAGCACTGGGCACTGCTCCAAACTCGAGCGTGACCCTCACAACAGCCCTGAGACATCAGTGTCATCATTCCATTTTACAGATAAGGAAGCAAAGGTCCAGCTGGTTTAAATCATTAGCACATTGTTATTGTGTTGGAATTCAGGCTCAGGTCTGTGCACTCAGAACCTATGCTTATTCTGCAGTGTCATATGCTAGCTCTGGAAATGTTTGTGGGCCCATGTTCAGTATCAGTGGATAACTATGAGCATCTTGGGGATGGAACTCCCTTGAGGAGCTTAGTGCCATGACCTCAGTCCTTGGTGCCCATCAGAATCACGCAGTCACCATCCCAAACCCACCAAATCAGCACTGACAACAATGGGGCTCTAGACAATGCAAAATGGTATCTTGTTATGGTTTTAATTTGCATTTGCTTGTTGACTAATGACATTGAGCCTCATGTCATTAACTTACTGGTCATTTGAATTTTCTTTGGAGTCTGTTCAAGTCCTTTGCTCATTTAATTGGGTTGTTTGTCTTATTGATTTGTTAGAGTTCTTTGTGTATTGTGGATATAAGTCCTTTATAGTATATGTGTTGCAAATGTGTTATCTCAGTCTGTGGCTTGTCTGTTCATTTTTCAAGGTGTCTTTTGAAAAATAGAACACTTTAGTGTTGATGAAACCCAAATGAGCATTTTGTTTTTGTTTTATGGTGTATCTTTGTCTATCTCAAGGTGGGAAAGACTTTCTGTTATATTGGGCATGTGCATTTTTAACACATTTCCCAGTTGGTTCTGCTGTGCACCAGAGGTGGAGAAGCCTGGGCATAAATAGTTACCCTAGGTTTGGGGTCAGATCTGAGTTTGACTTCCAGGTTTGCCACTTAGTGAGCAAGTCACTTTGTCTCTCTGAGCTTCAGTTTCCCTATCTGCAAAATGAAGCAAAACTAGGGCCCATCCACAAAATTTGTTAGAAGGGTTCAATGAAATAAAGCTCAAGTAGAACTTAGCAAAATGCCTAGTGTGCAGAAAATGCCCTATAAAAGCTGTTTTTGTTTACCTACTGGCTAGTTTCAAGCAGCAGGTTGGAATAACATGGTTTGTTGTTTGTTTTCAGTACATCAAGTCCTTCTACAATGAATCATGGGAAAGAAGACACGGGCATCCAATAGACCCAGATACTCTGACTCTGCTCTGGTCTGTGACAGTGTCCATATTTGCCATCGGTGGACTCGTGGGGACTTTAATGGTGAAGCTGATCGGAAAAGTTCTTGGGAGGTTAGTGGGGGTTGTCTCTGCTTGGGGATCCTCTCTGTGATGTTCACAATATGTTGGTATCATAGTCAGGATCCCAGAAGGCAAACGAACTCCATTTAGACATTCCAGCTGGGGATGTTTTCGTACCAGAAGAGCAAGGGGAGGAGATAAGGCACGCGAGGTCAGGGAGGAAATGAAGACCATGGACAATGGGCTGACAAGCAGGACCTGAGGTTGTGGAGGGCTATGTGGACTGAGATATGTCAACACCTATTGTCCAAACAGGGGGGGAGTAGGGGAGAAATAGCCTGGCTTCTTTCTCCTCCCACCGTCCAACCTGCTGCCAGTGCCACTCATTGGCCAAACCCAAGTAGAAACCAGAAACACCAGCAGGCTTGCTGGTACAGTCCAGGAGGACCAGCTCCCAGCGCTCAGAGCAGGACAGGGAGGGAGGAGATGGATCTGGCTGCAGGAGCAGATGGAGAAGAGTCAGCACAGTCTCTTAGCGAGTGTTCCAGATAAGTCCTCATAGGACGACGTTTCATTATATGACTGAATGATAACTTACTAAACCAGTCTCCCATGGATAGACATCGGGGTTGTTTCAGAACTTTTGTTTTACAAATACAGCTGCAGTGAGGGTCAAACACTTCACATTGAAATTTCCCATCCGGGTCCTCTGCAGTCAGAGCCACTTTACCTCCTGAGCTTCATTTCTCACTTATTTCTGTCCTGAAGGCTTCTCTGAGATCAGATTGATTATCAGTACATTTGCCCATACATTTTTCTCTGTTTCTTCACTTGTAAATTCCTGGGGGATATTGAGGTGTTAGGGGAAAAATAGAGTCTCTGCAGCATTCATGACATCTTCCTTGACCCTAAGGCCACTTCTAGGTGGTAGGTAACACATGCGAACTCTGCACCCCAGAGAAGTACAGCTATCGCATAGTGGAGTGAGGGCTGCCATTTCCTGAGGTCCCCTAACGTTCCAGGTACGCACACACACGGTCTTCTTTCATTTTCTCTACTCCCTGGGGTCTTGGATGGGGGATGGAGTTGAAAGCTTAAACGGTGCCTAAGCTCAGGTTGGACCCAGCTCCACAGCACGGTGCCCTTTCCGCTATGCCGAGCAGATCGTGAGTAGGGGTCTGCTGGCAATCGTACTATAAAATCCGTGACTGTTTGACCACAGGGAAGTGACTAGTTGGCCCCCAGATTGCTAAAGCCCTGGCCCAAGCCAGTTTCTGACCCCAGTCCTCTGGTCTATTCTAGTTAGATATAGTCACCCCTGGCCCCCGGATTTATGGCCTGTCGCATACACCTGCCTTATATCTGGCCATGGCACTTATAGCCCCAGGCTGCCCCCTAAGGAGGCTCTGAACCCAAGCGGATGGTACAGGGACAGCCACAGTAGTCGGTGTCAGGATGCTGTGGCCCAGCAAGTCCTGACACCTAGCTTGCCAGGTGTGTGATGTGGGACTTTGCCCCCTCACCTCTCATCTGACACTTTTCCCGGATGTAAAATGAAGGCAACGAAAGTGGCTTTGCAACTCTAAACAGCATGGTGCAAAAAAACCCCGGAAGGAATGGGAAAGCGACAATATGTTTCAAAGAAAGTGATTTTCTAAGTGAAGGAGGAGTTCTAGGCTGGAGAGAGATTCTATCAAAAGGTGTTGGTCCTTATGCCCCGGGTAGCTGGCTGTTCCTTTTTTCATCATTACAGGAATAAAAGTTGAACTGAGATGAAGTCTCGGCTTGAATAGTAACTCTGTTGGGAGGAAAAGGAGCAAAACCCAAAGAAGTCTGCTACCATTTATTCACTCCCTGCTACATACCAGTGCTTGGCATTCCATACCTCCTTTACTTCTGCAACTCTGTATTATTGTCCCTGTTCTACAGGCGATGAATCTGAGGCCCCGAGAGAGGCCTAGCAACTTGCCCAAGGTGACAAAGAATGAGGTTGACCTGAGATTCAGATCTGGCCTGTTTGACCAGAGCCTGTGACTTTCCTATCACATGGTATTTATTGAAACTGCTTCTTGATGCCTCATTGTTTGTCTCCCAAGGGGGCTGCTGGGGAAAAAGAAGAGACTGGGCTTAATGTGCAAGGTTAGGATGGGGTCCGACAGAAGGGGCTCAAACATGTGACTGGTGAGGGGAAATTTGGGTGGAGTTGGGGTCCTCAGAGTCAGGTGGGCCTGATCCTTGTTAGAACATGTTGAACTCGTCTGTGATTTGGGAGAGGGGTGAGGACAGGGGAACATGAGGGGCCAGGCATGGTCTGTGGAGATGAGTCACCCCCATCATCTGGGGTGCAAGTTCCTTGTCTCCTGGAGTCTCTGGCTTGGAGAATTCTGCTTGAATCCTCCCCTCTTTTGGAGCCATCAGTCCCCTGCTTACGTGGTTCTGGTGACAGAGCCCTTCTTCCCTCATGAGACAGGATGGCGACAATGTGCATGGATGCTGGGTAGAGGATCCTTGACACTTACAGCACAGGGGGCCACGTGTGAGTTACTCAAGTTCTCCAAGCTTGGCTTGGTTAGTGGCAAAATGAAGATAAAGCAATGGCCCATCTGAGGGTTGTCATGTGAAAATGAAATGAGACAGTGGATATAAAGGGCACATCTCAGTGGCTGACATGGTGTCGATGCCCACCTTATGGTGGTTAGTGTCATTGTCATCTTCGTCCCCATCTTCATGAGTTCTTTCTGAGGTGCATCAGCCCATCACTCACAGAGCCGGTTGTGAATATGTTCTTCTAGTCGCACTGAAGTTGGCCTCCTTACACTTAGCATTGGATCTAGTTTTTCCCTCTAGAGCAGAGCAGAGCAGAGCAGCGCAAATAACCAGAGGAGAAACTCACTCGGGCTTTGAAATCGGATCCTCAGGCATATTCTTGAGCAAGCTGCATAACCACTTTTGCCCGTGTGGCAGATACTTTTGAACACCGACTGGGAGCCAGGCATTGTGACTGGCACTTGGGCCTCAGCGGCAAGCAGCGGAGCCCGAGCCCACTGCGTAGCCATGAACAATTCACTCTGCACATCATCATGGCGTCATCATGGCGACCGGAAGCACTGTAGATGGGGGGATGGGGAGTAGAGATCCAAGAAGAGGCAGTTTTAAATCTGTAAAGCTCTGGTAAGCAAGCCCACCTAAGGGAGCGGCTGTGGGGGTGGCAGAAGATACTATTTACAGAATGTGTCATGTCCCTCACACCTGTGACAGGAACCCAAACCAAACTGGCTCGGGCCCAGACAGAACTAACTGGCTCACGTAACTGGACTATAACTCAGCTGACTTCACCTGTCTGTTTTCTCTGTCTCTCAGCTCTGCCTTACTCGGTGTTGGCTTCGGGCACAGGGGCTCTCTCCCCGGTGAGGGCAAGATGGCCCCAGCAGCTCAGGGTGACACTGTTCCTGCTCAGTATCCCCAGCACAGACTTCCCCTAACAGTAGTTCTAGTAAAGTCCCAGGCCTGAATCTCATTTACTTGGGTGAGGTGGCATACCCTGGGAGCTTCTCAACCAGGGGCAGTTTTGCCCCAGCAGGGGACAATATCTGGACGCGTTCTTGGTTGTCACAGCTAGAGGATGCTACCAGCATCCAGTAGAGGCCAAGGAGGCTGCTAAACATCCTGCAGTGCACAGGACAGCCCCCACCACAAAGAATTTTCTGGCCCCAAATATTAATAGTTCCCAGGTTGAGAAATCCTGGCAAATAACATTCTAAATTTAAGTTAAAATGACTGTATCATGTGCCCCTTCCTACAGCCACAGTGGGGTGGGGATGTGACCACCTCGAGCCCCCACACAGAGTGAGGGCAGGAATGTTTCTTGGCGGAAATCCAGGGCACTCCTATCAGAAGAAGGATGATGGGTATTGAACAAGAAGTAATAACCAGCCTCCTATACATCATGCTAGGCAAATAGCAGGTTCTCAAAGGTGTTATTTTTCTCCTCTTTTCCTACTTCAGTATTTTTAAATGTGTCTTTACTTTATAGATGTGGGAATGAACATTAGCTCTCGAGGTACCTACTGAGGGAGCCTGCAAGGTACATGGCAAGCACGTACTAGGCTTGAACAACAGAAATTTCTTCTCTCACAGTTGGGGAGGCTGCAAGTCCAAGGTCAAGATGTCAGCGTGGTTGGTTGCTCCTGAGTCCATTCTCTTTGGCTTGCAGGTTGCTCGCTTCTCACACGGTCTTTTTCCCTATGCAAGAGCATGCCTGCTGTCTGTTCTTCTTACAAGGACAACAGTCCCATTGGATTAGGGCCCCACCCTTAGGACCTCATTTAACCATAATTATTTCCTCGAATGCCCAATTTCCAAATACAGTCATGTTGGGGGTTAGGGTTTCAAGAGAGGAATCGGCACACAATTCAGTCCATAAGAGAACACATTCAGTGGTTGCTGACCATCTCCTCTTTCAGGCTGGAATTGTCTTCGGAAGGCAAGTTCCCCAGAAGCAGCCTGCAAGGGGGCTTGGGATGCATGTGTTTTGTTGAGGAAGCGCTCTTCAGGAGTTCCCTTGAAGCTGATGGAAGCAGAAGAGAGAAAAGGGGAAGAGAGCCAAGCCAGGCTGTGCTCTCAGATCCAGTCTGGCCTTGGCTGGCCTACAGGGGTCTGGAGCATGAATCACACCCAGGAGCTGTCCCATCTGGGGCCACATTCTCCTCCCACCTCTCTCCAGTCATTGGCTGCAGGCTGCTCTGGGGGAGGGGGATCATCTTCCTGGGTGGGCAGTCTTTAGGAGAAGGGCCAGCCAGGAGCCTTGAGCAGCCACATGCACAAAGCGGGGGATGAGGGGGAGAGCTGAGGGACAGAGAGGTACCTGCTGGGACTCCTGATACTCCACCTCCATCCTGTCAGCCTTGGAGCCTTGCCATGCCCTGTGAGGGTGGCAAGGACTCTGCGAGAAGGAAGCTGTCCTGGGGTTCAAGGCAGACGATAAGGAGAAAGACTGGGCGTGGCGGAAGTGGACTTCAGGAAGGCAGCGTTCCAAAGTCTGAAACAGAGAG